ACCATGCTTAGAGTATATAGATTATATATACTCTAAGCATGGTTTTGCTGTGTACTCACCCATTTGAATGTAGTACCGAATGTAGTACTGAGATAATCAGAATGCATGTACTGTACAATGACATCATAAAGAAAAAAATCTGCTCTTCATTAGTTTAGTACAATCAAACAAAGGCAATTCTTGAAACGGCCTTAGATTGTAAATATATGCATAATAGAAATAATTTGGCTAGTTTGTATGCAAATTTCTTGTTTTGGTTTTTTGTGTTGATTTTCAACATATATTTTATTGTACTTCCATACTACTGTACTAACGTAGTAGTGGTAAATTTTTTTAAGCTATAATAAAAATCAAATCACCGCTACACATAACTATACACATAACTATACACATAACTATACACATAAATATACACACATAAATACACACATAAATTTACACATAAATATACACATAAATATACACATAAATATACACATAAAATTTACACATAAATATAAATATAAAAAATTTTTATATAAAAAGCCTACATTCCTTTTTGTTTGAAATTTCAAAATTTTACATTGTATAAAAATTTAAAACGTCTATCTATGGAATTTTACCTATAGATTTTAACTAAATAGTGTGCATAGTATTATAATCTTATATAAAGAAATTGGAGTTCAAGAATGTTTAAATATCATTCATCAGAAAAAGATTTCAATTCACGTCATCTTGATTCAAAATCTAAAAAACTTCATTCAACTCCAAATAATTCTCAAAATTTTTTCATAAATAATAATCTTTATAATAATAATACCGATTCCTATCGCGGTACAAGAAATACTTTTAATCTTGCTCCAAGTATTTCTTGTAAAAAAATCACTGAACTTGAACGATTAAACCTAAATCATGAACAAGAGCGTCGTTATAAACTTTGTGCTGAACAAGAAAAATTATTAAGAGAAAGGACTAGTCGTCAATCTTCCATAAAACAAGAACAAAATCGGGATGCTTTAAGAAAATTTTATGAACGTAAAGCCAAAGAAGTTGGTCTACTAAATTGTGTTAGTGGTGAGCAACCATCTAAAAATTTGGCTGAAGGTTCTGAAATATCTCAAGTCAAATGTTCTTTGAAAAAAAATAATTCAAGAAATTCAAAAGATTTAGTTGAAAGAATAAAAGCGGGTTATACGATTATCAAGTTCATCAAATATCATATTACTAGGCAAAGAACTCGTCAAATTCTTTCAGTGCTTTACAAACTTCGAACTATTGAGAATCATCTTTTATCTCTCAAGTCTACTACTAATAATAACGATCTTAAGGATCCTATTCGCAAGATTTTAGAGCAATTGGACAAAATTAAGTGTGACAAATCTGAAGTTATTCTTGCAAGAAAAAATCAAATTATAAAATTAGCTCAGAATATGATCGGATCGCTAAATGTAAAAAATTTAAATCTCAATTATTCATTAGATGTTTATTAATTGTGAAAAAAACAAAAAAAAAAAACAAAAAATTTCATATTGTATTTAATGAAAATTTTAAATGTAATTATTTTGTAATTATTGTTATAGACTTATCAAATTTCTTTATATAATATTTTACAATCTTTTAATAAAATTATGCACATTGTGAATGTTTTTTTGTGAAATTTTTTGCGTGAATTTTTTTGCA